GTAGAGAATGTTCTTTTTGTTAAGTGCTGTTGAGTCAGTTCCGACTCATAGTTGCCCTGTATATGGTTTCCCAGGAACAGCAGGTGGGTTTGAAATGCTGATCTTATGGCTTGCAATTGCAAAAACTATGCGGAGACCATGTCTGACATCCTGGCTTTACAAGGGGGAAAGACAAGCAAACTCAAACGCAGTCCAAAGCTGACTTTGAAGCAGAGGTCAGACATGCTTCCATCCTACAACCTTCTTTACCCTATTCTAACACCATCCATTCCTCTCACAGCACTCTCTACTTCATATCTGGGTACAATAATCCATTGCAATGGCCACACAGAACTTACATCAAAGTCATGATTATGAGGCTTATTAGAGAAGTGAACAGGGTACAATTCAGGATCAAAACCAAATCAGGACACAGCACTTCTCCAGTCAGAAAAGCCTCTTGTTTGCCACGCTGCAGGTATGCATCACTACTGTCTACAGTCTCTCAGCCATGTGGCCCCTTGGTTTCTGCCCTGCTAGAGCACGTGGCTTGAGCACATGTTACAAAGTTCTTTCAGCCAGTCTGTGAATGCCCAAAGGGCACATTCTTCAAGCCAGTTGGCCCAGAGCTGGAAGTTGTTCTGTCTCTTCATGCTACCACCTCTGCTGCTGTCTCTGCCATCGCCTCTAGACATCTCACGCTCCCCTCATGCTCTTACTTCTTGATGGTCCTGGGATCATCTTGATGGTCTCTGCTTCTGAGCTGGCTCCTTTTAAGCCTAGCCGTAGGGTGAATCTAACAAATCCCAGCTTTAGAGTCCTGTTTACCTTATCTGCATGGTCCCACCCAATCACTTGGTGAGAATTAATAAGACTTTGGATAGAAAAGCCATTATCAAGTAAATTCAAGGCACAACAGTCCAATGCTTATCCTACAGTGCTACACTAGAGTCCATGTTGGAGAACACAGAGGGCAAAATGCTGAAAACTTCTTAGATATTATCAAAAATCTGAAGGCAAAGGGTTGCTGGGTTTGGGGGCTCAGGATTATAATCTCAGGGGACACCATGGTCAACTGGCATAACACAGTCCACAAAAACAATGTTCTACATCTTACTTTGGTAAGTAATATCCAGGATTTTAAAAGCTCATGCACAGCCATCTAAGGTAAAACCATTGGTCTCTGCATATATGGAAGAAAAAAGCATGATGAGAACTGAAGATGCTTGGAATCAATTAGCCCAATGTACTAATGGAACATGTGAATATCAATCTCCATGACTCTGAGACCACAAGAACTAGATGGTGCCCAGTCACCACTACCAACTGTTCTGAAAGGAACCACATTACAAGGTCCGGGTTAAAGTGGGAGAAAATGTGGAGCAAAACTCAAAATTATCCATCAAAAGAAAAAGACCATGCTTTCTGGTCAGAAAGAGACTGCAGGAACCTGAGACTATGGGCCTCCACTACCCTTCAGTTCTGGAAAATAATTTACTCCATGGTTCAATTTTCAACAAAGCAGTAGACAGGTATGCAGTGGGGGACAACAGCAGTAGTAGGATATACTTGCCAATCGTTCAAAATCAAAATGGGCAACATTTACCTAAGGACAAAGTTGGGAAAGGATGGGAAGGTGGGTAGAATGGAAATAGAAAGCACAGGGACAAAGTGCAACAACAACTATTGCAGGGAGGGGATTGTAGTCATTGAGATGAAACAAAGTCTATGATTTGTTGACTGTAAAACTGATGATCTTGTCTGTAAATCTTCACTCAGTTCACAATAAGAAGTTAAAAAACAAAAAATAGTGTTCTCCTTTTTTCACCCATCTGATTTTGGAGTGGCATGCCATAAGTGGCAAACCCATTTAGAAACAGCCATGTCAGGAGTATAATAATTTTATGTGAAAGGTGATTTTTTTACAAGACAACTAACACAAGACAAAACACATAGATCAGTGGTCATTTTGGTTATTTAATGAAAGTATTATTTGAACTTAAAATTGTGGAAAAGGTTAAGAAATATTGCAGTATAACTTGAAATAGTGCAACAACATGCCAGTGGTGGTGGCGGTGTACCATCAAGTGGGTTCCAACTCATGGTGATCCGTATAGGGTTTCTGAGGCTGCAAATCTTTATTGGAGTAGAAAGCATCATCTTTCTCTTGTGGAGCCACTGGTGGATTTAAAATTGCTGACTCTGTGGTTAGCAGCCCAATGCATAACCCACTATACTACCCGGGCTCCTAGTATGACAGTATGACACTGTAATTCCAGAAGAACACAACTAAATGATTAAGGAAATACGGTACCCTAAAAGTTTAATATGAAAAATCAAAATGATTCTTTAGGTTTCCTGGTGTGGCTCTGTAAGATCAGCACTAGATTGCTAACCACAAGGTTGGTGGTTCAAACCCACCAACTGCTCATCGGAAACCCTATGTTGTTATTGTTCTGGTTGGGTGCATTCAAGTTGGTACCAACTCATAGCGACCTTATGCACAGCAAAAGGAAACTCTGCCCGATCCTGGGCCAACCTCACTACTGTTGCCATGGTTGAGTCTATCGATGCTGCCACTTGGCCAATCCATCTCTCTGGGAGTCTTCCTCTTTTTCTCTGACCCTCCACCTTACGAGTCAGAACCGACTTGACAGCACTTAACAACAAATGGCACCGTTTCAGAGTAAGTAAATAATCCAATATTTCAGGAAACATCGTTAAATCTTGAATCCGAATTCTACCTAAATAATTCTGACACCCTTGTGAAAAATCGCTTAGCTGCAGTTTGTTGTTGTTATGTGCCGTGGAGTCGGTTCTGACTCATAGCGACCCTGTACGGGGTTAGTCATCTACAAAATGGAGCCAAAATCAAGATAGTCAGATTCCAAAGTCTTGTCCTTAATTGCCTGACTTCTGCTGCACTCTCGTGTTTTTCATCTTCCTCTTACTCACTCCTTCATTTCAGCCTTAACCTACTCTAGATTCTGTAATCTTACAAGCACACCCTGGCCTCTCTTCTCCTGGCTGGCTGCTCTTTCCTTCCTCTATCCAACAAGAGACTCACAAGGATCTTGCTGAGTGTTCTCAGTGGTCTTCACACAGGTCAGCTGCTCATCATATCTGGCTGAAGACCAACCACTCTGCTGAAAGTGCTCTCATAAAACCCACTGCCAAATGCTTTGCTGGGAAATAAAATAGCTCCTGTTTTTCTTTTTCCCCAGCCTTCCTGAGCTTTTTTGAAGTATCTGGTATTACTGACCTCCCTCTGCTCCTTATGTACTTTCTCCCCTTAGCTTCCTAGAATCACTCTTTTCTTGGTTCCTTTTCCATTTGTCTGACTTTGCTTTTCCAGTGATATTTTCTCATGTCTTTTCCTTTAAAGGTGTTTTCCCATCTAAGATTCCATTCTTGGGCCCCGGTTTTTAACTTGCAAAGTATATAAAAATTTCAAGGTGACTTAATAATCCACATTCTTAATTTGTTTTGGCAATTTAAAATTCACATGTAGTTGTTACAAAATAATATAGACAGATCTTTTATACCCTTCACTCAGTTTCCCCCAGTGGTAAAGTGGTGCATATTTGTTCACAACCACAACTAGGAATGGTATAATCTAGAAACATTATTCAAAGATCATCAGATTTACCTGTACTCATTTATACATGTGAGTTGCCATAAGTCAGAGTCTACATGATAGCCACTAACAACATGTGTATGTGTATTTAATCTTATGTAATTTTACTACATGAGGAGGTAACATGCATACATTTTGACTCTCATTTCAAGGTCCAGAGGGCTAATGTCATTTTGGAGAGCCCTGAAAATATCCATCATATTACAAATGGTCTGAGCAGAGCAATCCTCAAATTGTAGCAAGTAAGTTCCCATTGGTAAACAATGGCACACCAACCATTCCTCCCACAATAATCCTGATTCAGCTGGATATGAAAATTCATTACAATGGCCACACAGAACTCAGACACTCCTCACAGTTATGGAGTTGATTAGGGAAGTTAATAGGTTATAATGTGAATCAGAAATGCTCAGAACACAGTTCTTTGGTCTCTCAGCCATGTCTGCAGCGTGCCTCTCTCTAGCGGTTCAGGCAATACTGTAAAGCTCTTTTAGGGCTGCTGATAAATACTCAAAGGGCATTACACTCTGCTATTAGCCTCAGCTTATAGGTGCTTGGCACTAATACTGGGAGTAAGCATATCTAGATCCCCCAATTAAGTGCCTAGAAGCACCCTACTCCATTTGTGAGCCACTGAACAAAGGTACTCAGCTTTACTTGCTCCATGGATTATGAAGCCATTTTCTGTCTGATGTTCTGGCTCTTGGTTCTGCTGCTGTTGTTCCTCTGCCACTTCTCTTGTGCCACAGCTTTATTTTCTGGATTGAGGAGGTTTAATATGCAATAATCTCAAGGTCCAAAGGACACACTCCACTCCTGGGTTATCTTTTGATGGTAGTGAGCTAGCTCATTTTATAGCAATGTTAGAATTCCATAGTTTTACAATCACGATTAGGTCTGTTAACAATAACTAACATCTGATTCATATAGTCCATCAACATGTTCTCCCACCTTCTCTTACAGAGACTCATCAGGAGAAAGCTGTTTGGTGGGAGTTACCCTGGATTTGCCCTTCTCCATGGAAAGCCCTCATGGAACTAGAGGTTCACAAATTAGTCCTTCTGAATTAATCCTGCCTCGCTCATTAGATGCAAAGCTTCTCGTGGAGATAGTGAATGAGCCTTTTTTGTGTGTACCAAAGATCTGATACAGAAACATCTTCAATAATACAAAAATCATCTGAATTACTAAGATGGGAAAGGAAATAGGAGGGAAATTAGATAGAAAAGAAGAAACTAGGAAGAAGAATTTATTATTATAATGGATTCTGTAAATCAGGACTTCAACACCTAGATTTTTTAAAAACAACAAAGCAAGCATGAACAAATGTATATAATTGTTCATTGTCTTGCCCATAAAAATTTATATTCTGTAGAGTACTCACCTGCTTCAACAGTAAGCAGGTTATCCAGTTCTGCTAATGAATGATATTGGACAGGCTCAGAATTCTTAACATTTGCCAGTGGCAAGAAGGGGTCATAATCCGTGGATAACAAGTCAGCCAGGGTCAGTATGTAGTGACTCTGTTGGGTGTATGTGCTCGAGCCACAAACACAGCAGTGCAGGACCTGTGAAAAATAGAAGGGGTATATGCCATGGATGTGTCTCACCTCTTGACAATGTGTTAAACCATCAACAGTGCTGAGGAGGTAAGCCTCCTGCTTGGAATATTTGACAACATCTAATCCTTTCCATTTCAAAGTATTTTCTTGCTATTAGCAAACTTACTTTTCTTCTTTCTAATAAATGGTAAAACATGTATTCTCAAGGAAAAAAATACGGAAAAAAAAAAAGCTTATTTCACCATTCTGTGCAGCTGAATACAGCTTAGTTCTCTAGTTGACCAGGGGCAACACAAATATAAGGAACTACAATTGGGAGATGAAACAGAGCTGGGGAGAGACAAACGTTATCCATGATAGAGGGCAGAATGATAGCAACAAGCAGAGAACATTTGTCTACTTTATAATCACTTTAAGAATTTAAATTAGTATAAATCTTGACACCATGAATCCTAAGACCTGACTGAATATAATTTTTAAAATATACTTTAATACAAAGAAAATTTAATACAAAATTGTAGAATATTCTTTTTTTCACAATATTAGTTTCTTGAAAACTCATTAAACAAAAAAACCCACTGCAATGAAGTCAGTTCCAACTTTTGGTAACTCTGTGTGATATAGGAGTAACATTGCTCCATACATAGCTCATTCGTTGTTTAAGAATTGCAGTTGACTGATGTGCTATCAACTCTTCTTTGTTCTTTTGTATGTATGTATATGCAAGCCATGCAAACACAAATTACCTGGAGTATCTTAAAATGTATAAATAAAATAACTGTATTGAATTAAAATATGTTGATCATAATAAATTCAAGAAAGTAAACTTATCTATGAAATACAAGGGGCTTCAAAAAATTTGTAGAAAAATTTCATATTTTAATAACATCCATGAATTTTTGAAACCCCTTATATAATTAGGTCAAATATATTTATGTGACCAGTTTTGACATATCCACATACCATGAAATGTAGAAAGAAGGGGATAGCCACCTGGATCTGTCAGAAAAATGACAGTCCACAAAAGTCTCCTTATGGTAACTCTAGTAATAAAATAAAATTTGAGCTTCTGTTATAGAGAGGATGAATTTTGATTAGCCAAAATGTATAAGCATATGATTATTGGCAGTGCAGGACTTGATTGTGGACTAGGAAGAAAGGCTGTGTAGACCTTCTTAGCAAAAACACAGAACACCAGGACGAAACAGATTCAGAAGATGGTCCTGGTATTCTGAGCTTCAGATAAAGGGATAAATAAGGACCAAGGGCTTACTGGGAGAAATAATTCAAACAGAAGCAAGAAATGAGGTCACTTGTGATTTGGGGTGACCAATGTGACCTTCCACAACCTTTCTGAACAGGAGTGAACAGATTGAGAGACAAGAGAGCATTACTGTCATAGAAACCTGCCTGCAACTTATAGAGACCAAGATGCAATTATTATTATTATTATTTTATCTGTCTCTTTCTACTCTTTTCCTTTCTGGTGACAAGAGGTGAGATCTGTAGGAGTAGGAAAGCCCAGGGAAGGTCCTGGGATGTGCGCATTCCACAGCTGGCTGCAGAATCCAAGTGGGAGGAGGATCAGAAAGAGCCAGTGCTAGCTGTCTCTTCCAAATCAGGTCTGGCCAGTCCTGGGTTGGTGCTCACTAACAGAAACAGCTGAATGACCTTTAGAGGATGAAAAAAGGGGGAAGAAATAAAATCTGTTGCTAGATCAGAGAGGCAAAGAGGGAACATCATAAAAGATCTGAGGTGGCTTCGAAGGCAAGAGTTCATTGTTAGCGTTGTTGTTAAGTGCCATTGAGTCAGTTCCAACCCACAGTGACCCTTTATATGGTTTCCAAGGAGTGGCTGATGAGCTTGAAATGCTGATGTTGTAGTTTAAACTGGCTTTGCAGTCCAGTACATTAACCCACAGCGTTGTAACTGGACTCCCTAGAATTCATTAGGAGGTGCTAAAGAATCATTTATTTCTTGTGGTTGCTTTGGGGCTGTCTTTAATTTTTTTATTATTATGATTATTTATTCCAGTTTTATTATCTATATATTATTTTCTAATAATGTTCATTTTTAGTCGTGGTTTCTTATTCCTCCTTTTAACTCATGGAAATGCTTTCACTTCTTACCTCACCTGACAGGAGACAACAACTGCAGCCAAGCTACAACTGCACCCTTTTAAAAACACACCAATTGGGAAAGGGCCAATCTAGTTGCTTTACAGCAGGGCTGTGCCTACAACCAACACCTGCTAAAAACAATCTGAAATACACTGCAAGAACAGTGAACACAGAAGCACATCTCCTGATCACACCTAACAGGAGGCAATTGAAGAACGCTTGAGAAAACACGAACATACATTTATCAAATTAATACGAATACAAAAATAACACAATGCCTAAAAAGCAGCAGAATTTCTATGCATATGCAGAAACAAGGTAATAGTAGCTCAAATAAACAACCAAGAGGAAGAGCTAGAAACTGCATTAAATGGAAAAAAGGCTCTAGAATAACCTGAAAAAGAAGTCAGGAAAATGATAATGTGATATATAAAAATGTGCCACAGAAAGGTCAAAGAAAATTAGGAAGAAGTCAGAAAACTGTTACAGGAACAATCAAACAAAATAGATATAGCATTGGAGACAATACAAAATTGGCAAACAAAGGTTCACATGATCAGTACTAATATATCAGAAATGGATAATACACTGAAATGACAAAGGAGCAGAGTTGAATTGATGGAAGCCAGAATTAGTGAGCCTGAAGATAAATCTCTCAATACTGCTAAAATAGAAGAGCAAGCAAAATAAAAAGAAGAAGAATGAAAAAACCCATAAGAAGCTTAAGATTCATGTGGGGCAACATGAAGAGGAGTAACAAACTGGTGATTAGAATTCCAGAATAGGAAGAGACAAAGAAAATCACAGAAAAGATAGCTGAAGAGCTGCTGGAATAAAATTACCCTAACATCTTGAAAGACAAGAAGATAAGCATTCAGGAAGCTGAACAAACACCAAGCAGGATAGACACCAAAAGAAAATCATCAAGACATAGCATAATCAAACTCTCCAAAATCAAAAAGTAGGAATTTATCCTGAAAGCAGCTAGGAAAAAAAGAATTGTTATCCACAAAGGAAAACCACTATGATTAAACTCTGAATTTTCAATGTAGTCCATGCAGGCAAGAAGGCAATGGAGAGATATGTACAAAACTTGGAAAGAAAAAAAAAAAAAAACCCTACCAACCAAGAATCATATGCTCAGTAAAGCTATCCATCATGGTAGAACATTTCAGGATAAACAGAATTTAAGGGATTTTGTAAACGTCAAGACAGTGCTTCAAAACATACTAAAGGGAGTTCTTTGGACTGAGAACCTATAAAAGCAAGCAACCAGAGATTGACATATGTGGCAACACCACCTGGAACTCAGTCCAAATATGGAAGATTCCAGAGCAGAACAAAACTACAAGACTAAAAATAGGGGATCTGGAATGTCAGTCTATGATCAAAACAACTACAAAGCAAAGGAAAGGAAAAGTATAGTTACAGAGATCCAGGTGGAGGAGGTGAGGTAGATTTCAGGATAAAACACACTGTTTTATAATAAGAAAGAACTTGATAAAGTACAGAGTAACCTCAAAGAAATTTAATCTCCCCATCGAATTGAGAAAAAGAAAATCCAAGAAGATCTTGGAAACATTAAAACTATGAATAAATTGATGAGTAAAGCACACTCAAAACAATGAACTTAGCCAGCAAAGTATGCAGAATAACGAAACCAGCAGCATCACAGAAAAATAAAGAGCAAAATGACTGTAATTAATTGATAACTACACTGAGTGTCAATGGATTAAATGCATCAGTCAAGAGGAAAAGAGTAGCAGAATGGATAAGAACACAGGATCCTTCAATATGCTGTTTACAAGAGACAAATCTTACACACAAAGACAAAAATAAATTAAAAATTAAAGGATGGAAAGGATATATCAAGCTAACGGTAATAAAAAAAGAGTGTAATATTAATCTCTGATAAAATAAATGTTACGATATAAACTAGCATAAGAGACAAAAAAGGACATTATTGCATGATTAAAGGGTCAATTGAATAAGAGGACATAACCATAATACCAATAACCCAATGAAAGAACCTCAAAATGCAAAAATCAAACCCTAATAGAATTGAAAAAGGAAACAGACCACACACCAACAACAACAATAACAACGATGGGGGATTTTAATACACAGCTTTCAAAAAGGGACAGAATAACTAGAAACAAATTCAACAAAGACAAAGAGGAACTACACAACACAATCAATCAACTTGACCTCATAGATTTGTACAAAGCATTCAATACAATAACAGCACAATACACATTCTTTTCCAGTACACATGGAACATGCTCCATAACAGATCATGTGTTAGGCCACAAAGAAAGTCTCAATACATTTAAAAACAGCAAAATATTACAAAACATTTTCTCAGATCTCAATGCTATAAAGTCAGAAATCAACAACAGGAAGACCAAGAAAATAAAATCAAATGGAAAGTGAATAACACCCTACACAAAAACTATGGGGCGATAGTACAAAATAAATAAATAAATAAATCCCTAGAAGCAAAACCAAGGAAAACGAAAACACAACATACCAAAAGCCTTGTGACACAGTGCAGAGAAGACAATTTATAGCAACAAATGTTTACTTCAAAAAGAAGGAAGAACCAAAATCAACACATTAACACAGCAGCTCCGACAATTAGAAAAGGACTAGAAAGTAAACCAACAGGCACCAGAAGAAAAGAAATAATAAAGATTAGAACAGAAATATATGAGCTAGAAAACAGAAAAATGATTGAAAGAATAAACAAGGAAAGAAGCAAGTCTAACAAAAGAAAAGGAAGGGAGAAGACACAAATAATATGCATAAGAAATCACATGGGTGATGTCACAACAGAACCAATAGAAATAAAAAGGATAGTTAACAGAAGACATGAAGAGTCTGTAC